AGTTTTCCTTCCTCCGTGTTAGGGTGGCTAGAATGGGGAGGTGTGATGAGCGGGGCGCCTTTCGCTTGGCGGAGAGGGTCCTTCGGCGCGCCGATGCCGCTAGGGGCGCTGATGGCAGCGGCGCGGGTAGTGAGCGGCGCACTTCGCTGGGTTTGCTTCAGTCGCGCCATAATTTTTTTCGTTAGCAGTCGCACTGTCTTACAAGTATGTCGTCGATCGGTGATTGCGTTGAGTCTCTCTGAAATGTCCGAAGATGTCAACGACAAAAAAGAAGACGCAACGTTGGTGCTTTGTGCCTGGCTGCAACACTGGATATTATAATTCTTCAGGAGAGAAAGTTTCCCTTTTCCGAGCTCCCACGTGTAGTGTGCTGTTCGACAAATGGATTCGTGCTATTCCAAGAGCGGACAAACAGCTTGACGAGAACTCCGCAGTGTGCGAGAAGCACTTCGACCCAAGGTATGTACAAAAAATAGAAGGCACGGTGTTCGCACACCCGAGCAAGAGACCAATTTTGCTTACTTGCGTTCCACGTGTCACATGCTGCATTGCAACATAACCAATTGGCTGTCCTTTTCTCTTTTCTTTTTCACAGATTTGTCGTGCGTACGTTCAAACATAGGATTAATGGTGAAGATGTATACATGCCGCGCGCTGTGCCGACCTTAACAAATGACGCCGTGCCGACGATTTTTCCTAATTTGCCTAAATACTTGACGAAAGCTCTGCCCAAGGAGAGAAAGAGACGGAAAAGCGTGGCTGAAAGTGCTGTTTCGAGTAAAAGAATTAGTGTGAACCACGACAATGTCGAAGAAGGCTCAGCGATTGACCATGACGTGATCGTTTCAGAACAGAACGTCATGTTGACCGAACAGCTGCATTCCTTAAGTGCTATGCTTCACCGTCCTAGCGAGTTGTGGTCGATGCAGAAGTTCGAGCAAACGAATGCATTATGCTACCAGACCGCTAAATTGGACAGAGATTTAACACCTCCTGTTATTCACAACAAGATAGTGTTGTTTGAAGCTGAGGAAGGAGCAGCTGCTCAGTGCAGCATCTTTCTGAACGGGTTCCTATTCAAAAAAAGTGGCTGTCAGACAGTGAGCCAAGCACAGGATCTTCTCAAGTATGCAGACACATTGACACCCTGCGTAGGAATTGGGACAATGGAAGAGTTCCAACCACTGAATTTGGAAAGCAAGGCGAAGCTATCTCAAAATCGTGTCTTCTCCCTTTCTTGCGATGGTTCCTCATCGATTTCGCTACAAGGTATTATGAGATATCGCAGTTGCGCAAACCCTGCCTAAAATATTTTATTTGAGCCTGTAGATACCTGTCCCTGCTTTGGTTAGACTTATCCACCGATTATGGTACACTTTACAGATGGCTCATCTGGACGTTGTACTGCCTGCAGAAAATGCAGAAACCTTCTGAAGGCTCGTCTGCTCCGTCTAAAAAAAAAAAAGACTAAGCGGCCACTTGCAAGAACAGCTGCACAACGACTGAAATGGGCTGTTCGTACGTTGAAGAAAAAGAAAATGAAGCTGCTTACCTTGCAGGATGCCCTGAAGAAGATGCGAGAAAAGACTTCACAAATCATTGCATCTGTGTTAGAGGAAAAGGTACACTGTCCCATTAAGTTGTTATAGATTCATTACTAATAGCTTCTTAATTATTTCAGCTGAAACTTCTTCCAAAAAAGCAACGGGCTGCGGTGCAGGCTTGTTTTGACGCTGCCAAACGAAGGTCCTTGCGCGGATATAACTACAATAAAGAATGGCTCCTTGAGTGCATCATCCTCAGAATGAAAAGTGCACGACTGTATGAGCATCTTAGAGCACACAGAATTCTTGTCCTGCCAAGCCGTGCTTGCCTTCAAAAATACATCAAGGTATGTGATTGCATATGGTGTGCAGTATAGAGATGGTTCCTAATGTTTTTATCTACAGGGATTCGCTGCTGCTTATGGGTTTAATACCAAACTCCTGAGCTGTCTGAAGAAAAAAGTTAAAGACATGGATGAAATGGAGAGGCATGGGGGCATAGTAGTGGATGAAATGAAACTCTCTGCTCATCTGGACTTGCAGTCGTCCAGCAATATTGAAGGCTTTGTCGACCTCGGCAAGTTTACCGATGCCAATGAAAGACACCGCAAAGCTGACCATGGGCTTGTCATAATGTTCCAACCATTTGTGGGGAAATGGACACAAATCATTGGTAATATATTTTTTGCACTGTTAAGGCACATATGCCGAAGCGTTTTGTAATGCTCTATTTCTCTTCAGGTGTGTTTTCATCCAGCGGGAACGTAAAAGCCAGGCTGTTGACAAAACTTTTGGTAGAAGCTACAATTTTGTGTGAGCAAGCCGGCCTCTACGTGGATTACATTTGCTGTGATGGTGCGCCCTGGAACAGATCTATGTGGAACATCCTGGGGATACGCGCCACCCTCAATGACATTCAGTGCAGAGTTGTTCATCCGTGCAACAAACACCGATTTTTGTACTTTATATCGGACTTCCCTCACCTCATGAAGTGCGTGAGAAACACAATGATGAAGCAGGGCTTCAACACCCACAACGGAAGGGCAAGTTGGCTCTAATATTTCTGTGGAATTTTTATGCATAATGCGTACTTCTCAATGCTAATTTGAATCCTTAACAGTTCCTGATGCAATGTGGAAATTTTACAGGCCCACTGGGATCATGTGTCAACCATGTGGAAACTTGACAGCAGTGCCATCACCTTGAAAGTGGCACCAAAGCTGACTCGATCACATATCTTTCCAAATGGATTCGAGAAAATGCGTGTGGACTTAACATTTCATGTTTTCAGTGCCCAAGTGACTCGGTGCTTAGATTTTTACAAAGATCAGATCGAGGAGCAATACACAAATGTTGAGCCAACAAGACTCGTTATTGGTCTCATGGCGGAACTAATCGAGGTGATGACATCCAGGTTTCCAGCAGAAGCTTTACGGTAAGAGTGAAATATTTACCCTGTCGATAATTAGTCCAGACAAAGTTTCTACGCTTCATACATAAACATTATTTCAGGCTTCACAGCCGAAAGGAAGCTGTGCTTGACCAGGCACTAAAGTTCCTCGATTTGTGGGAAGCTCACGCAAGAGGACTTGGCTTTCTAAGCAAAAGTACCGCAGTGGGTTTGCGTGTGACGTTGAAAAGTACGAAGCACCTCCTGGAGTACCTGTGTGAGGAAGTACATTTCAAGTATCTCATGACGGCTCGCCTAAGCCAAGACTGCCTTGAGCGCTGTTTCGGAATCGTGCGGCAGGCAGGTGGTGGCAATGATCACCCAACCCCTGCACAGTTTGTTGTTATCACGAGGTATTTTATTATCAAATTTTACGCCTTATGTTGCATGTCGTATAAACTTGTTACGCATCTGATTATGTTTGACTGCTGTTGTGAGTAAAATATGCATTGTTTATTTATAGATGCCTCAGCTTCTATAGCCTGGCAAAGAGTCCGAAGGGTGGCAATGTAGCTGACGGAGTGGTGGAATCTCTTCTCTCTCTGGAAGAAATGCTGCACGAGGTGGAAGATCACAACGAAGACAACGAAAGACTTTCATCTGACGTGCTAGAAGTGTCTGTAGATCATGCGTCATACACTGTTGAGCGAAGTGACGCCCGCCTTGTGTATTATGTCGCAGGTTATGTCGCAAGAAAGCGTGTACCTCGTAGTAATTGTGATGATTGCAAGAACGCCTGCCTTGCTTCTAAAGAAAATGTGCCAGGAAATCTCCCAGCCCAGGCAAGCAAGCTGTGGGATCTCGGAGGACTTTTGTATCCGTCGAATTCCTTCTATAACCTGATATTATCCCTTGAGAACAAAATCACTCGCTTCTTGAGCACATCACGTCTTCATGCCAAATCGGCCGTTGAGATGATGAAGGGGATAGGCGAGACGCAACAAATTGGTTGCGCAAAGCATGCTGCTTTTTTGACGAAAAGTGTGGTGCGATTTTATTGCCTCACTCGTGTCCACTTTTTTTTGAAAGGGATGAACCAAAAGGAAGACGAAAAGAAAGGGCGGAGAGTAAAGCCATGCGTACTCTAGTGGCAGTGCATGAATGGCATGCGTGGAAATAAAGTTGTGTTTTTGTGAAAAAGTGTCTGCTAAATTTATGCTGCTGGGAACAATTCTCAAGTCACACGCTTAGCGGTATAGGTAAATTTTGGCGCTCTTAATGCGTGACTCATCTGAGTTAATGTATACATTAACTCAGATGAGTTTTAGCTGCCTATAGGCAGCTAAAACTGCTTCGTTTTTCTGCGGCGAGCAGCGCGCTGCGGCGAGCAGCGCGCGCTCATTCGTACATCGCCTGCGAAAGGCTACCCGCGCCGGTGCGTGCAGCGCCCCAAGCGGCATCGGCGCGCCTTGGGGACCGGTTTCTGCGGCCGCTTTTCACACCTCATATTCTAGCCACCCTATCCGTGTGGGCAGTACACACATTTGCCTAGTCTTCGTACTTGCGGGTGGCAAATCGTACTTGCGGCTCCGTTTATTGCTGTGTTTCGGTTTTGTTTTGAAAGAAAGATTGAGCCCGTTTGAACTTCGTGAGCCAATTTGAGAAGTAAGTCTTAAAAAATAAAATGGTGAAGCGCAACCGCTTAACCTTTGCTAATACTTGTTTCGTAAGAAAACAGCTCCAAGCCACACGAACACACACGGAGCCAAAGGCAGGCCAGAAGTACGAAAATTAGACAAATGTGTGTACTACCCATCATTCCCAAATCCTGTGTTTCGGTTTTGTTTTGAAAGAAAGATTGAGCCCTTTTGAACTTCGTGAGCCAATTTGAGAAGTCTTAAAAAATAAAATGGTGAAGCGCGACCGCTGAACATTTGCTAATACTTGTTTTGTAAGAAAACAGCTCCAAGCCACACGAACACACACGGAGCCAAAGGCAGGCCAGAAGTACGAAGATTAGACAAATGTGTGTACTACCCATCATTCCCATGCTCGTTGAAGCGCCGTGCGTTGCAGCTCCCATAGACCCTAGCGCTAGAGTTCCCTTTAGTAAGTATTGTGGGAAACTGTATGGGTTGCGCAACGTGAGGTGCTGCATTGTGCGCGGCGTGCTTAAATATCGTCGTTGGGTTTATCCTGCTGCATAAGCTGTGGAAGGTTGGTACTCTTCTCTTTTCAACTTCTAAATTTTCACCCGAAAAAACCGAATCCAGCATAACGCACGCAGTCTCGCGTTGTGGCTGTAATGTGTTCGTGATTCATCCCAGCGCAAGCAGGGCCCTCCTGCTTTTATCGTTCCTTTATTTGATCATGATAAGCTCATGGCCTCGCGCCTTGATCTGGGTGATCATGGGTGAAAAAACAACGCTTGTGTCAAATAATCAAAAAAAAAAAAAACAATTTGGTTGTATCGCAGGCCGGTTTTTCTTGTACACTTTCCACTTGTGAGGGTTAGGCGTGACCTCCTCCATGAAAGTATAGAAGAATGTGCTTTTAATCGAAGCATAATCGCTATACGCAGTTATAAACTAATCAGTAAAGCATTGCATCAGTGACTCGTAAATTTGTTTGACCACCATATTTATTTCTAGATGTCATTTGCGGTCGTCGACTTCTTTGACGCGATGGAAGCTGAAGTTGTACCGGCGTCGTGGTTTGACGACAGTATATGCTGCTGGCCTTGCGCAGAAATGTCCAGCTGGCGAAAGCTTTGACCAAGCCTTCGGCATCGTGGGCGATATATCCGGCCAAAGTGAAAGCAAGGGGCGGATGCGGGCTAGTCGGTATTCTTGTCTAAAACAGCTAAAGCGCTAAAAAGTAACAATGGCCTAAAGAAACGAGGACAAGCGCTAACTTCCAACTAAAATTTTATTGCAAAGCAGCAAGAATATATACCTGTCACATGACATCACAATAAAATCAATCAATGCACAAAGATAAAGAAAAAAACTGAGCAGCAGAGAATTTACAAAAAAAAAAAAATCTTGTGCCGGTGAGTTCATGTAATCGAGTTCTTTTTTTTTGTTGGTGCGACGAATGGCTTGCTGATGCAGCTTCGATTTGCTATCGCCGCCGCTTTAATGATGAGGCTTATTTACACTATCGTTAGAGTGATTAGCCAGCACAGTTGTTTTATCAAACACCGCTTGCACTTGCATTCAGTGCAATGAGTCGCCTGGAAACCACCAGATTCCTTTTTTACTTGCTGGTTATGTTCAGGTAATCACACATTGAGGCATCTGCCTGACTGTCCGGCGTAACTTAGACCGCAGGTGCAGGGTACTTCGTATACTGCCTTCTTCACACATTGAACAAACTTATTCTGGTGCTTAATTTTGCACTCGTTAGGAGGGTCTTCTTACAAAATTAGTTCTTGCACATGACTGCGACAGCTTTTTTATTTATTTATTTATTTATTGCGAATACTGCAGGCCAGTTTGTGGCCCAAGCAGGAGGGGCAATTGGCAATACATATAACACTGTTACACATACATGCAAAGAATATAAAAAAAAGGAGTACAATGCAGATTGGGCAAGGCATAGCACACCATACCATGCATATATTTAGCGACAGATGCTTTCCTGGAGCGCTTGGGAAAAATTTTTGGCTTGTATCACTGCTTCCGGGAGCGCATTCCATTCGGAAATTGTACGTGGGAAGAACTTATTTGGCGCAGAAATACCACTGAGATCCCCACCCTCTGATCAATATTCTTTAAATTGTGTGATATTTCATGCAAGTATGGGATCACAGCCACCTTCTATTTCATGCGAGTATGGGATCACAGCCACCACAGAGCACGTGGCAATGACTTTCGAGTCTTTTCGCAGTTTTTCTGATACGAATACCAGCAAGTGGCTAGGATACCCAGCTGCTCTCATATGGGCTATCTGTCCTCTGAAACTTTCCTGAATTGAATGATGCATGGCATCGTGAGTGCGTTGTGCAAACAAGCACGGACAACGCCGTGCTTGACCAGCTTGCTATATGCTGAGGCGAAAGGCAACAAAGGTTTTTTAGAACGAGGCTCGTAGCTCCAACATATATGGCTACTTGAAAACGAAAACCTCAGGTCCAAGAACCTCAAGGATCCATTTTCGGGTATCTCTTGCATTAGAGTGGGTGGCGTTGGGCAATCTTTGAACAGCGTTAAATGCCTCTTGAGGGGACTGTTTCTCAGGCAGCCTTGAGTAAGAAGGTGGCTGTGATCCCATACATGCATGGAGTTTCACACAACTTAAACAAAATTGGTCAGAGGGCGGGGGTCTCGGTGGTATTTTCTCAGAATAAGTTGTTGCAGTTATGTGCAAGGACTAATCCTGTAAGAAGACCTCCTAACGAGTGTAAAATTAAGCACCAGAATAAGTTAGTTCAATGTGTGAAGAAGGCAGTATAAGAAGTACCCTGCACCTGCGGTCTAAGTTACTCCGGACAGTCAGGCAGATGCCTCAATGTGCGATTACCTGAACATAACCAGCAAGTAAAAAAGGAATCTGGTGGTTTCCAGGTGACTCATTGCACAGAATGCAAGTGCAAGCCGGTGTTTGATAAAATAACTGTGCTGGCTAATCGCTCTAACGATAGTGTAATTAAGCCTCATCATTGAGGTGGCTGCGATAGCAAATTGAAGCTGCATCAGCAAGCCATCTGTTGCACCAACAGAAAAAAGAAGCAAAACTGCGATTCGGCCTAGTTGGAATATATCCATATTGAAATTTTTGTTCAAGCACACAGGGACACAGAAAGAAAGACAAATGTGTGCAATCTGACAACTGGTTTATTTTTCGAAAAAAATTCACTTTATACTCCTCAGATATGCACTCTCTTGTCACACAAAAAAAAAATCAATAAATGCACTGCACACATATAAAAAATAATAACAAGTTCAGTGATTAACAGATATGAGCAAAATTTTTTTCTCTAGTAAGGCTACCAAAGGGTGGCTAACACACTTGTCTTTCTGCTTGCCTATAAGCCTCCATTATCTCTCTTGACGTCTTGTTTAGATTCCTATATACCAAGGTAGTGTCGTGAAAACAAGGAGAGCACGCGCACTTATTGCAATGCATTGCCAAATGGGTGTTTTGGTGACCTTTTAAACTTGACATATGCTCCCTTAGCCTCGTGTTAATGCACCTGCCAGTCTGCCCTATATATACACAAGCACGAGACAAAGGTATGCAATACACCACATTGTGTACACATTGAACAAACTTGAGCTTATGTTGTATGCTGCATTCCTTATGTACGCTGGTCACTCTGTTACATTTCTGGTTGAACAACGTGCACACTCCTCCTATTTTGTTTTTGGCCGAAAACACCACCTTAAGGTCATACTTTCCGGCCACCGTTTTTATGCTATGCGAAAGTGTATTAGCCACCCTTCGGTAGCCTTACTAGAAAGAGAAATTTCGCTCATGTCTGTTAATCAATGAACTTGTTATCGTTTATTGTGATACGTGCGCAGTGCATTTGTTGTTTTTTTTTGTAGAGCGCAGATCCGAGGGGTTTAAAGTGAATGTTCTTCAAAAAATAAACCAGTTGTTAGATTACGCCCGTTTGTCTTCCTTTCTGTGTCCCTGCGTTCTTGCGCAAAAATTTCAAGAAGAAAAAAGAACTAAATCACTTGAACTAACCGACCCATGATTTTTTTTTGCAAATTCACTGCTGTTTAGTTTTCACTTCTTTTCTTTATCTTTATGTATTGATTGATTTTATCTTTGTGCACTGATTGATTTGATTGTAATGTCTGTGTCAGGTATATATTCTTACTGCTTTGCAATTAAATTTTTGAGCTGGAAGTTAACATTTGTCCTCGCTTTCTTAAACCGTTGTTACCTTTTAGCACTTCAGGTTTTTAACACATGAACGTGAAAGGCCTTTTCTGTAAGTTAAATTTTGACTATATTGATGGTGCATAAACACGTGTGTTTGTCACACACGTGTGTCTGTGACCGCTATTGAGCAGTGATGTGTCATTTTTTTTCACTTTAATCTCTCCAATATTATGTTTACTCGCGTACACTGTCTGTAGTACGCATGTCGAAACGGCAGAGCGTCGCGCTCAGGGCTGCAGCTGAGCATATAGGCCACATCTAAACATGCCCGTAGTCTCAATGACGCACATTCCTTGCGTTTTCTTTGTTTGTCACTGCAGCTGCATCAAGTGTTTTGCACGTCAAAAGCGGTCAGAAGCGCTCTTGGTAGTACGTAGAACAGAACAGAGAATATTCTGCAAGATATGTCTGTGACAGGCTGTGGGAATGATAACACTGCTAACAGAAAAGTTTGTTTCATAGCTCAAATTATTCTGAAACTAACCCAGCCGATTCGCCGCTGTTTGATTTTCCGTGCTAGTTCAGAAAGCGCTTTTCACAGCCAAAGAAGTTGCATACGCATCCCAAAAAAGGCTCTTCATTGGGGGTTGCCCAAGCTTGCATGTGGCCTATATCAATCTTCGTGTTTGTAAATGTGAACCATGCAGTGCAGAGCCGGACACTCTGGCGTTCTAGACCAACATGTTGCCCTCTGCACGAGCTGCAAGCAATGCTTTAGATGTAGCTGAAAGCTGAAGTGCAATTTAAGCTGCTGTTATTCTCGGCCAATTGTGCACTGCTCTTGCATATAGAAAGGCTAGCAGTTACAGCAACTGGAAATGCGCAAGGGTAGCTTGGGCTTGGTTATTTCTAATTAAACCTCAAACAGCATGAAGGACACGGACAAGAGAGGCACATCACTGTGTTTGTGGACTCTCTTGTCTCTGTCCTGCGTGCAGTGTCTGGATTAATTACGAAAATTTACTCTATAACTTATTGTTAAACACTGAATGGCCTTGATGTCCAATTGCACATTAATAAGAAGAAAAGAAGGACAGCGAGGTTAGCCAGTTCTCATACCGGCTGGCTACTTCGTAATAATAGATTAAACACTATGGTAAAAGAGACTACTAATTCGTGCATAATCTTGCATTGTGAACGTATAATGTAATCAAACAAGGCTGTATTAATGCACACATAAATGTGTACACATCAAACAATATGTGTGCTGTTCACCCTTTAAAATATGCATATATATATATATATATATATATTTATTGTAACAGACTAGAAAAGGGTAGAGAAGAGAAGCAGAGGAAGACGAAGAGGCTTGGCACGATCGCAGTGTGCTGCCGCAAACGACCATCGTTCACCTCCTGTAAATAAACCATCTTATCACAGTTCGCTATTACAGTTGTGGTGGACGTGCTGGGTAATCGACACCCGAAGACGGAAGGTGAACCGCAAGTTCTTCGACGGAGCCGTCGCATTGCTGGACTTCCACCGAATCCATCTGGGCTGGACATGTCCCACAACGCAAATGAACACCGACTCCTCTCGACTTCTGCGCCGACCAGTTCGGCTCCACAACTGAGAGATGCTCGTCCCTTTGCCGGCAGACCAGATGAAGACGTCGAGGCTTGGCTCATCCATTACAAACGGGTGAGCGCCGCTAACAAATGGGATGCCGCTTCTCAACTTTTGTACGTCGTGTTCTTTCTGACCGATACTGCATTGATGTGGTACGAGAATCGGGAGGAAACGCTAACGACGTGGGACAGATTTGTTTCTGAAATCAAAGAGCGTTTCGGCGACCCAACAACGATAAAGAAAAGAGCAGAACAGACGCTAATGCAACGCGCTCAAATGCCAGGTGAAACTTGCACGACCTACATTGAGGAAGTCATAAAGCTATGTAGGACCATTGACTCTGGAATGTCTGAGGAAGACAAAGTCGGGCACATTCTAAAAGGAATCGCCGAGGATGTTTACAGTTTCCTCATCGCGAAAGACACCTTGACATCTGTCACCGATGTCATTCGTCATTGCCGCAATTTTGAGCAACTAAAGATGAGGCGCATCACGCCAAAGTTCGGCAGGCTGCCCAATGTGACGACCATCGCGAGCATAGACAGCAACCAGGCGCTTGATCTTGCAACATCAATCCGGCAGATTATACGTGAAGAACTCGGCCTGTACGCGCAAGTGGCAAACCGCCCAAGCACTCATCCTCCCTATCAGCCACCAGAGTTCGAGCGAAACGTTGCTTCATTCTCCTCGCACCGAGTGGCACGACCTCGCACCGAGTGGCTTTGAGGATTCTGATGCCACACCTCAGTATCAGCCACGTCTATACGATAGAAGCCCTGCCTATGACGCGCGATCACGACGAGCACAGCCACATTCTTATACTCAGGGTTCTCAGCCAGACTACGTCCCGCTGCGGCAAGGACAGTATCGACCCTACTACCAAGATGCGACTTACGGCGAATACAGTGGATTCCAGAGAATGGCAGAAACCCGTTCTTCGCCTGATAACGAACTTCCTCGCCGACAGCAGCGGCCCAGGATTCGTTCTGATGAATACAGTATAAACCGTGACCCTCCCGTGTGCTACAACTGTGGTTTCACTGGGCATATTTCTCGGTATTGCCGCCAACAACGCCGCCAATCACGAAGGACACCAGCCATGTCTTCGCCACTAAGACCCAGTGCTTCATATGACCTGCGGACAACCGACTTGTTTCCAAGGGACCGTTTTTTGCACGAGACCAGACGCAGTGATTCGCCAGCATCCGAGCGGAGTTTGACACCACCATCCAACCGTTCTCGTCGCTCGCCGTTTCCTCTGCGTCGTTCTTCGCCGCCGCCGGGAAACTAGCATCCGCGGCCAATGGAGGTGAGGTCGCCGGACGGTCTTTTCAAGATATACCTCTGCCTATTGTTATGATCAAAAACAAAGTGAATGTGTTGATTGATGGAATACGACGATGGCGTTAGTTGACACTGGGCGACTGTGTCTGTGATGAGCCTCGCCTTCAGAAACCGCTTAGGTCGCAAAGTTATGTTTTCATGGGACGATACAATCACCTTTCGTGGTGTAGGCGGCGAGTAGCTTAATCCTCTTGGTGTATGTGCTGTCAGTGTTTCATTGGCTGGAAAAGTATTTGTATCGGAATTTCTGGTTCTATCTCGCTGTTCGCACGATGTCATTCTTGGTATCGATTTCCTGGAGCAATGCGGTGCTTCCGTGGACTGTGGTAGTGGGGAAATATCACTAAACAATTTGTTTCTACCGTCGCTTTCCGAAGAAGACTACCATGGCGAAGACAGGAACACACTTAGTGTGATTGATGAAGTGATGGCACCATCTTGGTGCCTGACACCCGTTCGAGTCTCTTCCACAGCGGTTGATGATGCTTGTGTTTACCTCGTAGTGGGGCCTCTGCGCAAGAACTGTTTTAAGAAGGACATACTTGTGCCTTGTTCTGTTGTGTGCATGACGAAAGGAGTAGCAACATTGTGGGCGCTGAACTGTTCTGCCACGCCGGTTGTGCTTCCTCGCGGGATGAAGATAGCTCTCTTTGATGAAGCCTCATACAACTCGATAGCAGCAATAGCTACGGACCTCCCCCCCTCTTCCTCTGCTTCTCTTCTCTACCCTTTTCTAGTCTGTTACAATATATATAGAATGTCTGGTAACTATTATAGTCATAGAACCTAATTTCTTCATCATTATGCTCTGCTGGTACAATTCATTGGTTTCTAAACAGCATGTTAGGAATGTTTAGACTAAATACCCCATATGTGGTGACACTTATTATTGTAACTGCTGTCATTGTGTTTGTAATGCTGTTGAGGTAATTTTTCAAAGTCCAGAGTACACCCTGCAAACGTGCTTCATACACTGCTTGTTGAGCATCAAGCTTACGTTAGCTGTGTCAACAGTGGTGTTTATACACATGCATATATTTGCAGGCTACCAGTGCCCTGACTGACTGACCACTGCCATCACTATGACAGATCCCCCAAGACCTTTGCTGAATTTGATGCAATAAATTTGACTAAAGGCAATCATATCGGGTTAAAAGTCTCATTATTTTGTAGCATATGGTGCAATTACATGCGCGTCTGTCTGCCTCAGTGGAACAGGGGCTAAGGTGCTCAACTGCTAACCCTAAGGTCACGGGTTCAATGCCGGCTGTGGCGGTCACATTTCGATGGAGGCGTAATTGTAGAGGTACGTGTACTGTGCAGTGTCAGTGCACGTTGAAGAACACCACCTGGTTAAAATTTCCAGAGCCCTCCACTACATTGTTTCTCATTCGTATTGTGGTTTGGGGATTTAAAACCCCAGATAGTATGCATATGCGTGTCGCTGCACCTAAACATAAGTGTCATTTGATATATATCAATGGTATTGTAAAACTGCTGTGGACAATCTATGGATGTTGACTCTCGTCAAAATGGACATCCTCTAAATATTGTATTAAGATTGCCAAATATTATATCTATATTGTGTGTGGAACTGATGTGGACATTATATGAAGGTCCACTCTGTTCAAAATGGACATCCTCTAGATATTGTATAAATATTAAATTAACTTTTGTGGACATCCATTGAAGATAAGAATATCATATGGTTGATATTTATTAGATGTCTACTGGACATTACATGGTTGGCTTACGTGTCGGTGGCGCATTTCTCAAGTGACGAATCGGCGCTCCGTGACGCTTGTGCACACTATGTATAGCCTGCTAGCATAGTCCCCAGGCGTATTGTTTTCCTCGTGAACTATTTATTTGTGCTATGTGTGGCAAACAAAACATGCTTAAACCGCAACCACAATAGTTGGTTCAAACGCGAGGAACTGAGCGTCAGGGCGTGGGCTGACGCTCGCGAACGAAGCGCGCTAGCAAGCGGCTGCGCTCTCTGATAAGGTTGTATCATAGAGAAACATACTATATGTAAGTATATTTCTCTCTGGTAGTATCGTAAACTCTTTCAGCCGCCGAGTCGTCAGACTCGCCACAGAACACCTACGAGGCCTCGTTCATGACACTAGGAGAACCTTATGTATAGGGCCAAACCTCATAAGCGCGAAAATGCACGCGACAGCGACGCTATGAGCGACGAAACAGGGCGTTCGCGCGACGTGTCGCGTGCTCGTTTTCGCGCGATCGCTCGGTTCTCCAGATTTGGAAACCGTCGCTCATCGCCCGGAAGTGCTGGGCTTAAGCAGCCAATAGCGAAATACCAGAAAAGACAAAGACTACGGAGGTGCACGTGACCCTGCCCGAGTCACGTATGCGCAACAAGAATTAACGCAATGTTTATCACGCATGTGCATATAAAAAAGTGCTGCAAGGCAATAATAAACACTTTCCGTTTCAATACACAACAATATATCTTATTTTTAAATTGCATACCGCTCGCTAAGCGGTTTTCTTGGTGCGAGTAGACGGCCTCATGCCAGCAACAGTGGAATTCGCTCGCCGAAGCCGTCGCGTGAATGAGGTGGTGTTCTGTGGTTTGCCTGCGCTAGCGACTGATCGCGCGAAGCCGATCTTCGTCGCGTCGCTTGTCGCTGTCGCGTGCATTTTCGCGCTTATGAGGTTATGAGCCACTATAATACTATTGGCATTTTGCTATTTTGTCTTTCTCCAGAAGGTACGAATCATAAAGTTTCATTCTAGAATACTGTGTGAATGAAATGAAACTTTATGAATAATTAAATAAATGAATGAGTGAATGAATGAAACTATGGCATGATTAGATTCCAGCTTGGATGCATATTTATGCTGTTTTTACATTCAAGCATGAACCACCAACCAGCTTTCACTTTTAGATTCCAGATATGTACTTATTGCGATTGAAATACGCTGTGAGAAACTCTGTGGTTACACTGCCATAATGCCAAAAAAAGAAAAAAATACGAGATTTGTTGGTGTTACTACCCAGCAGGCAGTTACTACCCTCAGCGCCCTTAGTGTAATTTTGTACCTACTAGGGAATAACTGCCTGCTCTTGGCCCCTTGCCCTAAAGCCAATGGGTCAATGCCCACGCCATGCAAGAGCCATGTGCCAAATACTAGGCTGGCTTGGCCAACGCCACCGGGTGAGCGGAGGTTGTCGCCGCACACGCGTCTCACGACCTTTGCGTTGTGTGTGAAGAGGCGAAGGCTGTATGACGAGAGTGTGCTGAATCGTTTTCACAGTTATTCTGTGAAACGAAACAGCTAGCTGCAACGTTTTGGAATTTGCTACAACTGAATTGTGAGTATTATCAGTAATGAGCTGATACGGGCTCCTTCGCATCTTTCGCTTTCCTCTGCCAACGTGATCAGACGGATCTTTTCCAGTCGATGTAACACTGTATGCATGTTTATGTCTGTGCATTTTAAAAGTTTATTTAGCGTTACTTTCACGTTTATGCGAGTCCGAAACCAACTCTACTAGAGTGTACTAGAACAAGCTACCTCTACCAAATATTTAGGCCTAGCCTGACGAAAGTGTTGAGTAGATAATTTTGTAATACGCCCATTTCTTTCATGGCCCGAGAGAGCGATCCTTTCTAGGCATTGCAGCTTGAAATGCCGTGAAAGTGATAATCAAGCTGTCTCAATACTAGAGCTTGCTCCGTGAGCCGTATTGGCAGCAGGCCGGCCGTAGCTGCAAGTTGCGCCGGTTCGGATCACCAGGCGCACGAGCAGGTATCATTCGACATTCGTTTACATGATCTCTCTAGCAATACAATATATACAGTAAATGCAGCACTGTATCAGGAGCGGTCATTTGACATCCGCTGGCGAGATCTTGCCGTAGCAGTACAAATTGATTTGTGGGGTTTAACGTCCCAAAACCACTATTTGATTATGAGAGACGCCGTAGTGGAGGGCTCCAGAAATTTTGACCACCTGGGGTTCTTTAACGTGCACCCAAATCTGAGTACACGGGCCTACAACATTTCCGCCTCCATCGGAAATGCAGCCGCCACAGCCGGGATTTGATCCCGCGACCTGCGGGTCAGCAGCCGAGTACCTTAGCCACTAGACCACCGTGGCGGGGCGTAGCAGTACAAAGAAGGGATCATTTGACATCCGCGTATACATGATCTTGCTTATAGTATGCGGACCAGCAGCAGAGACAAGTGTCGCATGAGGGATCATTTGACATCCGCACATGTTGTGTTTCCGTATAAGAAGCGCTCATTTCGGATCTGCTCTCGCAGTCTTTTTCGCAGTACGGGGCCGCGGGAACATGAATTTTGTCGAAGCTGTCGTGGATAAGCTACGTGATGCTCTCGAACTGATGAAGAAACTTGAATCAAGCTGGGAGCACCTCCAATATAACTCCGACACTGTGAGTATCGCTTTCGCATTGTATTTTAGTCGCATAAACGACCAAGTGTCGTAAGCGCATATGCATTTTGTGCATGAGCGTGTTTTGTTCTGACGCTACCACTTGCATAGTTAGCACTGTCCACGAATCGTGTGCAGATTTGTTCGAGCTGCCAAATGTGAAAAAGTGGGTGATAGCCCAGTGAGTAGCTTACCTGATTCCGTTCTTCATATATAGGTGCGAGTTTCTCGGTGGCTGGTAAAGTTCGTAGTAATAATTGGGAGGTGTGTGTGTGTGGTTTGGATGCAGTAGAGCAGGGCTCCTGCATCCGATTCCGACTGCCTGAGGTTCCTTTACGTGCATTTAAATGCAAGTACAGTAGCCTCCAGCATACCACCTCTATCAAAATGTGGCTGGCGCTGCCGGAATTCGACCTTGCAACGTTCGAGTCGGCAATCGAGCACTGCGGCAGCTAGATTGAAAGTTTTATTTTAACATATATTGAAGAAGTTTGTGGTGAGGAAGAAAAAAATATCTGCTTATATGACTGTGATGGTGGTAGTGTCGCACTAATGGCTTGATAAATATGGCAGACAAAGCAAGCTCACACTCATGCTCCTATTTGCATGAATGTGAGCTATCCTATTTGCATAAATAGCAGCATGAAGCTTTGATATGTGACATCCAGCACTAACTAGAAAGTTGTCCAAATGAGACAATCAACACTAGTGGTAAAAACACATAATTTTAAGTGCTAGGTGCACCTTAAAGGTCCTTAGGTTGTCAAAACTCAATTATATCACCTCCCCACCCTCACAGAGCTATGCCTCATAATTGTATTGTGGTTTGGGCATGTAGAACTTATCAATCAACTCTGACTTATTAATGACAATCACTGCCAACTGGAATTATTTGCTATCTGATTACCGCAATGATTTTCTGTTTTGAGATTTAAAATGGACTAATCGTTACTGTTGCTAAAACTAAGTGAACATGTGAGAGTTGAGTGTAGAAAAAAAAAAAAGGAGGTGCATGCCACCTTCTGGAAAAGCAGTCCAATGGTTATTGGACTAACAAGGTAGCAGCTGTTAATAAACATGATTTGACAGAGGACAAAAGTTGTTACTGTTCTGACTTTATCTTTCTGTTTTACTTTTTCAGCTCAAGGATGACATAGAAGATGCTTGCAGCGACCAGATAGCTGTTGTTGGTCAACGGAAGAACAGATTGTGCTTCGAGGTGATTTGCTGGTTTCTGAACCGAAGAGGCGAATTCAGTCAGATTTGGCCAAGTTGAACCATACCAAAGCAGCCTGCGGTCATTGTTCAGCTCTACAATGCTGGCAAACTCATGATGAGAATGCCTTCTCCTGTCTGCAAGTTTTTGAGCTGTGAGTTCAACATTACACTTGCGCCATGGAAATTCTTTGTTGATCTTGATTCAAAAAGCACTCTATGCTTGGGATGTAACATTGAACTGCTGTTTTGTAACTGCAAATAAATATTCATGCAGCTTTTGAACCGACGCAAAAACAGCATGTACTGATGAGGACAGACTGTGATAACAGACACAGGCACTGAGTCCGTCCTTGTCTGTATGTGCTGTTTTCACCTTGGTATGAACAACCAACTGGCTAGAAATGTGTTATTCCAGCTTTTGAAACTTCATATAAAAGTGCACACACCAATGATTAGTCAATTAGGTAGGAAGAATAAGTTCCACCATTAATTGTTTATTTCAGGAGACATGCCCATTCATATTACTGTATTTACTCGTTTAATGATCCCCCCCCCCCCACTGTTGTCCTTAAAAGAAAAATACTTTTTTAAAATTTCTGTGTTCATTTTATTTCGGTATGATAGCTAGTGCTGTAGACGATGGAAACAATGTTAAATCAAGCCATTATATCACAAAATAACACAATAAAATTCAAAACAGTTTTGCGAGCAGGCCGAACGCGGACGACGGCAGTCAAAGTTTGAAAGTTGTGCCTTTTACGGCAAAGCGCCATCTGTCTAGTGCAGGAGAAATCTCTTTGCTGATAACGCTACGCAAGTACAGCGGCACACTAGCAAAGTGCATGTCCTGCAAAATGGCGCACGCCGCGCGCTCGCCGTCCCAAAGATCATGCGAAACGCAACCGCACCAATGGCGCGTCGGGCATCCGCAAGGTTTACCGCAACGTTTGTGCGCCCCATTCGGCGCTGCGTTTTTGTTGTCGGGTTTGTCGTTGTGAATTTAGTTGAGACACCTGCTGCACAGGGCACGTTCGGCCGATACGCTAGCTACAGAGCTGGTTGCAAGCAGCGCATTAGAACCAAGTGGCTGGACGACACTTCGGCGTCGATCTGTGTGCTTTCGTTATGGGAGGAAACAAAAAGAGTTTCAGGCCACAGAAAAGATTTGTCGCGCATTTCACGGGCGAAAACAAACAAAGTTGTCACGTGAAATTTTCGGTGTTATAATTCCAGTGACTTTTTTTCTCTCGCGTAATGACCCCCCCCCCCCCCCCCCCGATTGGCATCACTTTCTGAAAAAAGGTGGGTTGATTACGCGAGTAAATGCGGTAGTATTATAAGCCAAAGAGACATAATGTACACTGATGCAGAATTCATGGAGTACACTGCATTTCTGAGTCAAGCCGAGTGATACATTGAGCTTCATCGATTTACCAAGTCCCGGATCACTCGCGGACGGCCGGCGGACCGCCTTGGCTCATAGGCGGCAACGTCCAATGCACGTGATCTAAAAGTCCGAGCTAGCCCGAGCGGCCTCAGGCCATCTGCGCGCCTGATGCTGACTGCATCCGTTGTGGCGTCTGCTATGCCAGGCTATGCCGTCTGCTCCCTCCATAGCTGTCACACAGGCCACAATACTGACCCAGTTCCAACCTTAACAGCAGTTAGGTAGTGAATTATACCTATTTCTGTTCTGATGCAACTTACTGTAAGTGAACTACTCGAGCGAGTGTGCATCGTAGACTGGCGCGGTCGTTCCACCACTGTTTTTCCTAGCGAGTATAATGCGTGTTTGCCCGACCTTCGGGAATACGCACATGCTCAACGTGGCTCTGAACACCGATGATAAGAACTGGTTGCGCAAACAATGCGAAATCCAAAAACATGTGAGAAGTGGACAGAAAAGCAAAGAGAGAGCAAGAGCGCATCGAAAATTTCCCGTGTCTAACTTAAGATGGCTGCACAGCATGCGCACCGCGCTGTCGCCTGCCAGCTGCCCAAAAGAAACTGTTCGGGCGGTCCCGGGCCGCCCGCAGGCTGCCAGGCACGCGAAAAACGAACATGCGCCCGAGCGATCCCGGACCAGTGGGCGGAGCTTCCAGCTGGTTCCCTAGAAAAACGAATGTGGCGCCTGCGTCCGGAGCCGTCCGGGTCGTATAAATCGATGATGCACATTGTGCTGTCGTTGGGGGGATCACCAACTGTGGTTGTCACCCATTTTTCATTTTGCTTAATGGTGCTCTTTCTTTAGTGACTAAGTTGGGAGGGCCCTGTTCTTCCTTCTCAGTGCAGCTGTGGGGTGTCTTCATTCAACTCGCACTTTTCGTTACTGCGCGCATGCCCCAGTTAGTTTTTTCCCCATTGATTTTTATCAATGTGGACAGTGGAGCACTAACATGCCACAATGTTTCTATTTCAAAATGAGAAATGTAATTATTTTTCAACGAAACTTGGAAGTAATTTATTTTCATTGCTCCTGTACAGAGGTCAACACCCTCGTCTATATGCTGGAGCATTGCGCTCAGGTCTGCACAGCCAACATTTAGACATAACACGGGGTTTGATAGTAGCCACATCTGAGCATGTGCAGCCCCCAACGATGCACATGCCTTGAATTCTTTCTTTTTGTTTATCGCCCTGGTTGCAACAACCCTTTTGTGTGTCAGAAGCACTGTCTGTAATATATTATATAGGGGGAGGGGGAAAACACCTTGGGCAATCATCTGGCTTGCCACCTGATGCAAGCTCGGCGGTAAGATTATCCTTAGTTAGCAGTGTCATCTTTCGGGCAGTCAGTTTCTTTTTTTAATTAATTTATTTTATTTAGAAAATACTCCAGTCACTTAAGACTGGGCAGGTGGGAAACATTACGATAAACAATGTATGCAAACATTGAGAAAAATTACTGTAATAAACAAATTTGCAAGAATACAAAATGGGTGATACAAGAAATGTAACAAAAATATAGCAAATTATGCATAAGAATAAATAATGGTAGAAACGAAGTGATGCCTTAAAGCACGAAGAAAAATAATATACACATGTGCACAGCCAAATTTATACATATAGAAACGCCTGAAGTATTACAAGTACTGAAGACTAAAAATCCGGAGTAATATTGCATGAGAACAAAGCACAGATATTATAACACGCACTAGAAATATGAAGAAGGTGCACCTATGTCATGGTTTGGATGCTCTGAGCAACGCTTTCTTGAAGTCATCACATAAAACGACATCAGGTGGTAAGCTATTCCATTAATAATTGTTCGGGGAAAGAAGGAATTTTTAACAATGTTAGTCCGAGTGGAGTATGGTAGCAGGTTATGCATATGACGATGCCTAGATGTGCGAGGAGAAAATGGTTGTATGTATTTGTGGACAGGAATATTCAGCTTACCATTATAAATGGAATGCAAAAATTTCAGGCGTGCGATTCTGTGGCATTCAAGCACAGGGATGTCGTCTTTCATTAATTTTGTGGGAGAATCAGTTGATTTAAACTTGGAAAAAATAAAACGTACAATGCTTTCTTGAACCATTCCAAGTTTTTAAATATCTTCTTTGTAAAAAGGGTCCTAAACCACTGATGCATATTCTAGTTTAGGCAAAATATACTCGTTGTATACGAGCATTTTTAATTTCGGAGGGGCTTTTTTTCAATTTGTGCCTCAGAAAACCAAGCTCCCAAGAAGCTGATGCGCAGACATTTGTTATATGCGAGGACCAAGAAAGTGTGTTTGTAATGGTAACGCCTAGGTATTTATATTTATTTACTTCCCGTACTGGCCTTCCATGGATGTGATAAGTAAACGTGAATGGCTGTTTCTTTTTTGTCACACGTAGGAGTATTGTTTTGTGCGTGCCTGTGTGTGCTTACATCACCAACACCATTTGATGATTGATATGTGGGGTTTAACGTCCGAAAACCACCATATGATTATGAGAGACGCCGTAGTGGAGGGCTCCGGAAATCGCGACCGTCTGGCGTTCTTTAACGTGCACCCAAATCTGAGCACACGGGCCTACAACATCTTCGCCTCCATCGGAAATGCAGCCGCCGCAGCCGGGATTTGAACTTGCGATTTGCAGGTCAGCAGCCGAGTACCTTAGCCACTAGACCACCGCGGCGGGGCAGCACCATTTCTGATGGCCAGAACCATTGATGGTAGCCATGGCAACAATAAAGGAAAGAAAATGCAAGGCAGCATGTCACAGGGGAAGCATATGCTGGAATTCGACTTATCTCAAATAATGTGTTATCTCTAAATGTCTTCTGTACAACCCCGAGTCTATTACTCTGCCATTCTAGGCTAACTTGAAGCTGTGTACGTATTGCTCCATACCCTCCGATTCGTGGCAGTGCAACGAGGGTGCCACTGCGAAGTTGTGTTTGCAAGTATTTTGCTTTTACTGACTGCAGATAACTGAAAGACACATGAAAAACAAAACTCATGGCATCCATGACATCTTTTCGAGTCTTGCTATCACATTCTGTTTTTGCATTTGACAAAAGTGTGGCCTATGTTGCCCAAGAGTTGATTTGGGCGATGGTCAGCTGATTTCTGCTCCATTCAGAGTTCCCTTGCTTATTTACAATTCCACTGCAGCATTAAAAATTCAAATACTGGTTTTCTACGGCACTGAATATGCTGGTTTGGTCAACTTAACGCGGGACATGTCCGGGTAAATGTGCTATTCACGATTCCTACTTGTAACATTGTTATCATGGCTCCCCTGAAAAGGCTGGCAATAGTGAGCTCCATGAAATGAACAACGTAGAAAGTGTAGCTGTGGCAGCAGCAATGAAATCTTTATTATTGTTATACTACAGGGCAAGTGTTTGTATCCTATAAAAGACCGGGTACTGCTTACTGTTTCTCACTACAGGTAATTGGAATGATTTACAGAAAAAAACAATATATTACATTCTTTGTCAGCTACATATGTATTCTGCTTTTTTTTTATTGTGACTTTTGCTTCTCATTTAGCCTGTATTCATGTGTCTATCATTGCATGTTTCTATACAGGCCTAATGTGACAATAGAAGTTCCCCAGCTGCTGTTCGCCAAAACTGGTCAAGAAGAGCTGGAAAAAGCAGCGAGAGGCTTTGGCTGTGCCAAGCTTCACCCTCCCAGTGCACTGGCGACTTCGTGGCAAGTGAAACGAGTCTTTTCAGTGGGGAATGGTTGAAAGACTCGGAGTCAAATGAAACGTGGCTGCTATGTGATATGGTATGTATGCATGCGGTGACAGGATCATGGAATGTCGGTTAGCATTCTTCTTGTTGGCCTTGCTTAGCATTAAGCATCGCTTTTTTCTGTGAATAGAGTTGTGCTTTTTTGAAGTTTGGTGCTGTGCCTTCCAAAGTGCATCTGTGTATGATATACTAAATTATTTAAAACTCAGGGCTACAGTTCTTGCAGAAGTCAATATTGGTCAAAGTGTGTGGAATGCCCTTTTGAGTTGAATGCAGCAAAATCTCATTAAACAGGGCTTTGAAATAATTGGCAATATATATTCCCGAATTTCGTTACTGAGAGAAATGTATTTGGTTTCACCAGGCAAGTATAAAACAAACCATGTTAGAGGCAGTTCTATTGAAAGGAATACTAAACTTTCGTTGCAGAGATTTTCAGTCCAGTTGAAAGCTTGCGGCCTGGTATGGGTTGACACAACCACGTTTTCTGGCAGTTGACACAACCATGTTTTCTGGCAGAAACAGTGAAAAATAATCAATTTAATGCATTTCTCACAGACTGCTTTGTTTAGTGGCTGCACTGTGAAATTGAAGAGGTCATTAAGGGCACAGGGTAGTATGAAATTTGAAAAAAATAAATCACTTTTTCAATTTGGGAAGGGTGTGCCTTTCAGCGTATTTTTCACATTCATTCTTTTCATAAAACAGTATTTTTTCTGGCTGAAGACCAGCTTTTCCAAAAGCAAGTAGTGAGTGAATGCACTCTCTAGGGCAAGCCCCTAGTCAGCTGTGTATAAGATGTTGTCGGGTAACTTCTAAGGCAGTCCGAAGACGCCGTGTGCCTTTATATTCGCACTTGGTCTTCGGAGCAGGTCAGTTCGAGCACTATCGCAGGGTTCATGCAGGTCCTTGAAACCCTTGAAAACCCTTGAATTTAAAAACTTTGTTTTCAAGGCCTTGAAAATGCTGGAATTTTTGCAAGTATTTGAAAAATGTTTGAATTTACTTTTTTTTAAATTTTTCATAAACACTGTCATACATTTCACGCTCCATTATTTGTGATGCTGTAATTGTAGCAGGTGGCATATGTAATGTGCCTCTTGTAATAGAATTGAGAGTATCAATAGCTTCTGCAAGGAACCAACTCTGCATTTTTAATTATAGTAATATTTGGGGTTTTACGTCCACAAACCAAGAGATGATCGAGAGACACCGTCGTGGAAGGCTCTGGAAGTTTTGACGATCTGGTGTTTTCTAACATGCCCTGACATCGCACACTATATGGGTCTCCACTATTTCGCCTCTATGGAAATGTGACTGCTGCGGCCGAAATTGAACCCGCGACGATCAGGTCTGCAGCCGAACACTATAATGACTACCTCACTGTAGGGGACAACACTGTGCATGTTTGGAAACTCAAAAAAAAAAAAAAAAAGCAGGAGCAGTAGGACAAGAAATAGAAATGTTGCATTGAGGAGGAAATCGAAATGCTTAAATTGCCCCGCCGCGGCGGTCTAGTGGCTAAGGTACTCGGCTGTTAACCTGCAGGTCGCGGGATTGAATCCCGGCTGCGGCGGCTGCATTTCCGATGGAGGCGGAAATGTTGTAGGCGCGTGTGCTCAGATTTGGGTGCACGTTAAAGAACCCCTGGTGGTCGAAATTACTGGAGCCCTCCACTACGAGGTCTCTCATAATATTAGCGTGGTTTTGGGACGTTAAACCCCACAAATTAAATGCTTAAATAAAGAAAAAGAAACTAGACGCCGCTGTTCAAGAAAGGAATTAACAGCTACAGAAGACTCATATGCAGCAAAGGCAGAGACAATTAGCGACCTGACATGCATGAACAGCTTTTGGACTGCTGCCAAGACCAAGCAGCAGGAGATAGTGACTATGAAAATTCAGAAAAAGCAACAAGGCGTTGTGTAATAAGTTGCTGTTCCTTGGTTTTTCCTACCTGAATAAAAGCCACTCTCCAGTTTTACGAATCTCCCAAATCTCAAGGTCTCCAGCTTCACAAATCCACATTTCAATTTTCAGAGTCTCTCACGCCACGCCTCTCAAATGATTTGAGAGGCGTGGCAAATGCCAGCGTGCACTTTATAATTGTTTGCTAAGTGGGCTGGTTCAAAATACAATTTTTTTCCCCTGTGGCCTGCTCCAAACTTAGATTTTTGTGCTCCAAAAGTGTCATTTTGCTGCTACAAAAAATTTCTCCAAATTCTATTTCGGCTGTAGCACCTCTGTGTGGGGCATGTCTCTGCACCACAATTGTGCAGAGGAATGCCCCACATCACTTGACTGCCATGCATAAGTTGAAGCCACGCATAACTTGACTCTTCCGTTTCCAGAGGCCGACAGCACCCTGCCAACAAAAGCACTGTGATAGAGGTATAAGTGTCCTGCCACCTGTAAGTCCTACCACTCGTAAGTTGAAAAAGAACTTATGTGTGGTTGGGCATTTGATGTCTTGCAAGTATCAGTAGAATCAACAATTGCAGTCTCAGGCTTTCCACATCTCTCTAGGCCATCCCGTGACACGCTCTTCTCTGCACTGTGGTGGTGCACAGAGAACACGTGACCTGACTTGTTGCTGATGGCTGAACAAGAAAAACAATTTATTGTTTGAAATTGCTTTCGTAATTAATCTGAAAGTGGGCTGGCATTGTTGTCGTACTGCTCGAACTTTCCTATTCATAGTTGCCATCTTGTGGTGGCAATGGTGCTGGCCCTGTTCAGGCTCACTCTGACCAGCTTGTGAATGAAGGGTGTGTTTTTGTTAAGAAATTGCACCTCTTGTAGAAGGTTTCAGACAAATTTTTTCTAGAAGCAAAAAAAGAAAGAAGGCATCATGAGTATGCTGTGTGCAGATATAATGTTATGGGTGTAGACTGTATTCTTGTTTTCCACATCCACATACAAATCAAGGTTAACTGATAGATTGGTTTCGCTTCTGTTACACAGATTGTCAGGGTTTGTTCTAGAAATTTTTGTGCAAAATTGCATTTTTGGCCTGTTTAGCAGCACCCCAGAAAAAATATACATTTTCCTACTGTAATCTACTGGAGGTCTGTGTGAACAATGCAGCTTACCTGGAGTTAGTGGTGGTATTTACATAAGTGATCATTTTTTAATTTAGTAGCAAGTTTGTAAACAGAGTGCTTAGTTTTTTTGCAGTAAGTATGCTATTTTGATGACTGCAATGTGCTGACTCTGTATTTTAACTGCTTTATAAGTTTCTTCGGGGACATTTTAAATTGTAATCTCTCATGTGACTTTTCAAAATACCTGTTGCTGATAATGGTTACAATGAAGCAAATCGTTCTGTGCTATCTCCTGTTGCAGGACAACTACAGTGGTGAGGATGAAATGGTTGCTGCCTCCTTGCCAAAGTCCCTCTCGGCGACATCCAGTTCCATTGAGGCAGTGTCAATAGATGAGGATGAACCAGCTGGCACTTTTCACAAACTGGTTTGTACCATATTTCAGTTTCATAAGTGTCAAACAAAAGGGCCTTGCCATTATGCTATATTTATATACATGTCTTTTAAAAAAATTTGAAGCATATTTTGTGCTAGGCTATTATTGAATCCTAGTATTGAAACCTTACTTAAGTCCTCTAGAACCAATCCATTTCGAGACACTTGAGAATTTTAGAAAAAACATCATTACTAGAGGCCGGATTTTTAGGTACTAAAAAAGTATGTTTTAGGTGCCAAAGACAGGGTAAAACACAGTTTTAGGCCCTAAAAATCATAATTATAGGCACAATAATTCTCTACAAAAATTGAAATATCGCAAAACAATGACGTCAGTGACTTGTATGTATGGCAAGAAGCAAGAAAAATATTGTTCAAGATAGCAGAAAGGTACCGATTGAAAATAGGCATGCATTTCCCGTGCAATTCGCAATACTTAGTCTTTCGCTTTATTGTCTAGTATTGTGCGTAAAGTGTCCACCATTCAATTAACACTCTCCTGGGTCTCTTTCCTTTCATTGTGGCTGGAAGGGGCAGCGCAAGAGCAAATAACCAGACCACTGATACCCCTGAAGAGAGGGATTCTAGCTCGAATCGCGTAGGACCAATTTCTCCCTATCGGAGGACCAGACCACTAATACCCCAGAAGAGAGAAATGCTAGGTCTAATCGCGTAGGACCAATTTCTCCCCAATCGAAGAACGCCTTAAAGGGCCCCTCACTAGGTTCGGGCATTTCGAGCTGACAAGCGTAATGGGGAACTGGGCACTCCGGATTGTTCCTGTGAAGATTTGAAAAATTATATGTCGCGGAAAAATGCTAAATTTCTAATGAATGCCACTTGGCCTTTTCAAGGGTGTGCGCCCCAAGATCTAGGGAGTAACGTACAGCAAGGAATGGTCCTATTTTTACATCTGTCATTTACGTTGACAAAGGTGGGCTGACGTTGCATATAGTACGCTCTTCATCAAAACTTCTTTAAATGCTAGCTATATCTAGAAAAACAGACGAAAAATGTCCCATCTCCTGATTATATCCTGCATTTTAAACGGTACCTCATTAAGAGCGTTGCACGTGACATTGCTTGGCATGTGCAATTTGTGTGTTCTGGTGTGTAGCATGAATGAGGAGTACTTTGGTTTGGGCTAGCCGCTTCATATCATTTTGAAAGGGAAGCGCGAAGACAAGAGGAAAAGAAAGACAGCGCTCTTTGTCTCTGTCTTTCTTTTCCCTGTGTCTTTGCACTGCCCTTTCAAAATCAGTATAATGATGAAAGCTGAGAAAAATAATAAAACACGCCAACAGAATCTCAGCTTGTTATTATATTTATTTTCATTTTCAATAGCATTGAGATGCTATTCACTATCGGCCCTCGTTTTGCGTCCGCCTCGGTGGACCAGTCGCTATAAGGTGCTCTGCTGCTGACCCGAACGCCACGGGTTTGATTGTGGCCACGACGGTCGCATCTAGACGGAGGCGAAAAAGCAGATGCCCGTGTACTGCGCGATGTCACTGCACGTTAAAAAATACCAGATGATCAAAATTTGCGGAGACCTCCACTACGACATCCCTCATATTCATATCGTGTTTTTTTTTACGTAAAATCACACATACTACCACTGCTACTACTAATATATACTACAGTCGAGCCCATATATAATGGCCCCACTTAAAACGAACTTTCGCTTAAAACGAACAATATCCGATATAAATTGGTTAAATGGCACAAAATCAAACTTACAACGAACGTCTCCAAGTGCCGCTGATCGGTTACAGCGAACGGAGTCAGCGGTCTGCCGACTTCTTGGGACACCAATTTCAACCACCGATCAGGCATCGGCGAGGTGCCCATACATTCTTATTGTTAAACGCCGACCCTGCCTCCGCGACCCTCTAGTTGCGGTTCTCCCCAACCCGTGGAGGAAAGAAAGCCGTTTCCTTCCTCCATGCTCTGACTGCTTTTTCTATGCACCCCCCTCCGTCCTTTGTCTCCCCCCTACTCTGAGCACCCCGTATCACCAGACGAGGCCCGTGTTTTCACACTGCCACCGATCTTTTGAAGACCGGTCGGCCATCTACCCTGTTTTCGATCGCAGGTACTGTCGTCGGCGTCGCCGGCCTGGAGTAACCAGACCATTTGCCATCATTGTCGGCCACCGACTGTATCCGATACTCTGCGTCTAGTGCACGCGTGTACGCTACCCCACCAACTCTGATAATTTGCGATTCGTTTCGTGTTTAGGACTTCTTCTCGCTCACTTCGCACTCGGCTCAGCATGCCTTCTGCGTGCATACGGAAGCGTGAAAACGGCTGTTGATTTGCACGGAACAAATCACGAAATATCGAAGTTCTCGTGAGGCCACGCAAACCCGCGGGCGCAACAAAACGATTTTTTGACCACGGCCGCCGATTCTTCGAACATCGCGGCACGTACCGATCCAGGCGGCCAAGCTTTGACTTCTGAGCGCGCAGGTACTCTTTCCAAGTTTTTCTACGTGCGAGTTTTGTGGACCTTTCAAGCAAGCTATCCATCCTGCCTCCTTCTTGTGTGTTTTGGTTTTCAAGGTCGCCCTCCCACCGCATCCTCCCCTCTCTTTGTCGCAACTCCTTGCCCTTCTCTCGCAAGTCTGCTCTCCTCTCTTCACAACCCCCTTCGCCCGTCTCCACCGCTCCGCCACGCCCGCCATGCTGGCCCAAATTAGTTTCGTTCTGACTGGAAATGGCCCAGAGCTGTTCCACGTGTTCTGGCATGTGTCGCATGTGCGCGTCTTGCTCGCTCTTGGTGTGCGTGTGTGGTCATGATGGCCGACGGGAGGACTAGCACGCTTTTTTCGTGCCGCTCAACAAAACGTTGGAAGCGTGACCGCTTGGCTAGAGTGTAATCCGCGTGTTAGGTGCCGCGTTGCGGAGTGCTTGCTCATAGCTGTTGACCACCTGACAGCCAACTTGCCGCTTCGGGCGTCCCGGTATTCAGCTGTGGAGATGGTGAATATTTCGTAGGTGGCGGTGACGTACATGCCTGCGAGACTATTTTCGCGAGGCCGACTTTATCGACGTCGGGCCTGATGCCGAGCCTGAAGCTTCCGAACAGGACCACTGTGGCGGCGATTTGTGGCAGCGCGTCAACTCAGACCTGGGAGAGCGGGTGGGACATCTGTTGCAATGGTTTAATTACGGCCGATGATGATGCCGACACTGCGGAACCGTGCACGGATTAGGGCATTGTGAATGAAGTATGTGGCGAGAGCGATTTGGAAGAATTGGATTGCGAGAACGAAGAAACTTTGGAGCCACTGCTCATGCAGCTTAGCCACGGGCCTCGGCGAACGAGCCCCCTGCCGTTTAAATGAACTCGAGACCGCCCTTATCGCTTCTGCTCTTCGAAAGACGTGCATCACGGACTTTCTGGCGCAAAAAAGTTTGTTTTCACTCGCAAGTTTTTTTAAAAGCTGTGTTTCAAATACTACGAACTTCGGGATACAGCGAACGGATGCCGCGTCACACTCAGGTTCGTTATAAGCGGTCTCGACTGTACTACTACTACTACTACTACTACTACTACTACTACTACTACTACTACCCTCTTGCTTGCATTTATCTTCTCGTCGTTCCTGTATCGTGCCTTCGCCAACCCTGACAACGCTTAGCTTGTGTTTGGTGCGTCATCTCTGACCGCAGTTTCAGCGGAGCGACGGGGTGTATCACTGTCACGTTAATGATCAATGCCAGCCTTTCCAAAAGTATATGCATTGACTGATCTATTCCACACAAACGGGTAATACAGAACAGAAACGCTGGAACGACGCATCAATGGCATACGTGCACGAGTAGGCTGGGGCACGTCATGCGCGTGACCTTGCTTACGCATGTTGTTCTTGGTGCGTATATGTCATGTGATCCTCCAGCTCCAATACCAAAGAGAGCAGGGAAGGAATTAGGTTCGCGATAGTTACATGGGCAAGAGGCAAGGGATTCAAGTTGGCCTCTTCGCATCATGGTTTGTGGCTCATAGCGAACCAATTTGAAAATCACCGTGGTAGAACGTTTTTCATTGGGCATGCAAGAACACTTAGTGTCTAACTACAACTTATTATATCGCCCGCCGCGGTGGTCTAGTGGCTAAGGTACTCGGCTGCTGACCCGCAGGTGGCGGCTTCAACTCCGAATTGCGGCGGCTGCATTTCCGATAAAGGCGGAAATGTTGTAGGCCCATGTACTCAGATTTGGGTGCACGTTAAAGAACCCCAGGTGGTGAAAATTTCCGGAGCCCTCCACTACGGCGTCTCTCATAATCATATGGTGTTTTGGACGTTAAACCCCACAAATCTATCTACAACCTATTATATCACCTAGAGAGGGACGCCTAAAAAGTAAATTACAACGAAACAAAAGCCGCATGCACATCACATTTTTACCCGAAGGCGCTGCTGCAGATGGGTTACAATGTCAAAGAAAACACGCCTTCATTGACACAACACACTTTGTTCTCTTTATAAAATTTCATTCAGTCGTGAATATAACAAAAACAAATTAATATAGAAAATTAGATCTGATACGACATTCTAAAATCTCAATTACCCTTGCACGAAGAGCACTGTTTAAGTATATTCATTTTCGAATAGAGTTTTACCATGAAATGCTTGACGTAGGAGCTTTAACTGCAGTTTAATTCGACGGGATGATAGTAATTTCTATCCTTGTTCATTTTTCATATTGTTACAGCTGTCATTGTTGAGTGATGGCTTAGGACAAACCTTGAGGCCCTGTTCTGTATTTTTTTCATGTTTGTCAAAAGACATATGACAAGGAATCTCTTACGCAACAAGCGTACTCAAGCATACAGTGATACAGTGATTGTGTGCTAAATACACTGTTGATTGTGAACATGTCGGCGCCTGTCTCAGGCTTCGCTGTATAATGTATAACGATTTGGCGGGCTTCACCGCCACGGAATCAACATGAGCATTCCATGAGTGACTCTCCGTGGTTTTATTAATTTTCCACCTACCCACGGCTGAACAGAAAAACCTGCTGTTCCTTTCCACCGCAACACCCAGGATATCAAGGCTTAGTTCCTTCAGGACAATGGAGAGCTGTCTGTGGAAGGCGGTTGCCACATCTTCGCCCATAGATACACTTTTATTTTCTTACCCCATCTTTAATTCTCTCTCCTCCTTCCCCTGCAGACGCTGAGACGTGTTTCCACTTAAGGCTGCGAATGGAGTTTTTTGCACTCTTCATGCTCCTCCTCGAATTGCTCGCATCATGTCAGCTTCGTCTTCTTTGAACCTTATAGTGTTTGGAAATATCAATGTTGCCTTTTTTACATGAATAACAGTCTCACACCACGCTCTAAAACGAAATTTGGGTTTGAATAGCGCTCATATAGGCCCTCATTTAGAAAATAGGCATTTATAGGCACGTAGGCACAAACACCCGAAATAGGCATTTATAGGCACTATAAAAACACCATAAAAACCTTTCTTAACCTCTAATTCATGCTCATATATCAAAATGGCACGATAGGTACGCAGGAACAAAATAGGCATTTGCCTATAATCCGGTCTCTAGTCATTACTGTGCCAGGTAGGCACAGAAACCAAGTGAGGCATCAAGCATCATGTGCACAGTGCTTGCAGTACTGTTTGTGAATAGTTTTGGTCTGACTCAGTGCAGCAAACAACCCTAGTTTTTGTTGATGTAAAATTTTGTTGTAATACTTAATTCCGTAACTGCACTTCCAGGATGAAAACCTACGGAATGGAATATTTTTATCAGAACTTTTGCATAGAGCCCTTTTGTTTAGCACTCTTCTAAAATCGAGTAAACTTGATATGAAGATGAAAATAGGCCAACTATGAAGCAAAGGGATGGAAATGCATCCGAACTCCGCTACAACAAATGCCGCTTCAACAAAATTTCCACTACAATGAAAAATTTACAATTCCCCGTCAGCAGTCCATAGGAGTCAATGCATAAATATTGTCGCCACAACCAACGCTTTTTCTTTGATCGTCTGTTCAACGAAATTTTACGATGCAATTCCAGGCTCGGATACTTATTGCTATGCAGTAAACCCAATCTTTGTTAACATTTCGATGCATTTTCAGAGCCTCAAAACACTTCAACGATGTTTAAAACGCATTGGCACCACCAGAAACCGCCGCTATACCACCCTGTTCAGCCAGCATGGGCGCTGCCATTGCCCGATAGTGATGGCAATGAGACTGCCCTGCTTTTGTTTTGCCATTGGCTTGCTTTTGAGCCGCAGATGATCCGAAGCTGAAGCTCAGTCGCTCAGTTCATGGTTCCTTCTCGCAGCTGCTGGGTGCAACCGTGGCATGATGCCTTTTCAGATTCAGAGTCCGGCATTCAGCATTTGTTTGCGCTGGCCAGTGGGGTTACTAATCGGAGCTACTGTTCGTCCACATTATCAAGAAATCGGCTATCCACAAGTGATAGATGATAAGAATGGCATAGAGTAATGCAGAAGTCGCCGCTCCACAATACCCTGCCTCCATCTTGGCGTTGTCGGATATTTTGACGGCGGACAGCTGCTGGTGTTAACGTGTTAATGCAACTGTTTCATTTGTTCACGGAAACGGTTTTAGGTGTTGCTTCAGCATGCTTTTCACCATGGCCTTGCTATGCATGGGTGTGAATCACGTCGGGACGGCGCTGGGAAAGAATGGGAAGCAGCGGACATTTTTCGAATATTAAGAATGAACGTTCCTTTGTTTTGCTAGCTCAGATCAGCGATATTTTTTTTCGATTTAACTACAACGAAATTTTTGCTTCAACAAAATTTTTTTCCGCACCCCGTCAGTTTCGTTGTAGCAGGGTTCGACTGTAGACAATTGCTGTTCAAGTAGTTCATGGCTTCATGCGTATTAGTACTATAAAGGATGGTGCTGTAAAATTTTCACTTGGTGAAAGATAATCCAACAAGGGTTGTGGGGGAATTCAATCTAACGGTAGTGTGGTTGTGACCAGCACTCTTTGTTTTATTCGAAATCTTCGATGCATGTTCACAGAAAAGCATAGATAATTTGGGATAGTTCTCTGGTCTTGGTGATCATGTGCCTTATTTAACACAATCGGAACAAGTTGGTTCTGATTGCTTGCTTCATGTGTGAGATGTGAAAGGATGAAAGTGGTGCTAGCAGCTAACCAAAATGAAGCAGAGTTTGCATAACCTTAAATGTAGATGGGAATTTTCTGTGAACCCTGGAATGTTTAATGGCTGTTTGGGCCTTCATTATTCTTGCTTTTACAGTTGCCCGTGGCTTGAAATTACAGGGAGCTGAGTCATTTGGTGTGTATTTGTTCTAAAGAGACAGGGCGTACAAACACGGACACAAGGAATTTCACAAAGCCTGTGCAATGCCTGAGGCATTGGCCACATTTTTTCGTGATTGCTTGGTCCCCTTTGATTGTAGTGTTGTTAACCTCAGTTTCATCCGCTGCAGTTGCGAAGAATTAAGTTTCACTTTGACTCCATAACTTCATAACTGCACGATTGCCAACCACAGTCTATTGCACGGCCATTGCAACAGACAGTACACGCTTTCAGAACCATTTGGTCACCCTCTGTGTTCACAGCACTTGCATATATAGGTGCTTGATCAGGCTTTTATGTACAGAGTGGCAACTTGGATCAAATGTTCAGGTAATTTACCACATCTAGGGGTTCCATTCCTCCAGTATACATGTGATTGTGCTGCCACCTGTATATTAATAAGTGAAACTAAAGGTCATTCTGACAAGATCAGTATTTTGGTGTACCTTACTAGTTTTAAGAGTCTGTGGTTTCTCAAAATGGTGATTTCAGGTGGAAGATCACTCTAAAAGGAATCATATGATGGATTTGGAGCAAGACCAATCATCTTGGCTTCTGCCGAACCATGGATACAGTGGCAAGAATGAACTCAGACAGACAAAAACGTTTTGTGAAACGAAGACATCAGACATAAAAAATGAAGTGGCTAACTGGCCACTTATACCAAAAGATTGTGTCACATGCGAAGATGACTTGGTCATGAGCAAGACATCCAATGGGAACTCAGAGTGGCTCATTACTAGTAAGGCCAAGCCTATGCCGACAAGCTGTTCATATACAAAACAATAAGAGAAATGTTCAAGCCTTACTTTGACCATGGAAATGACAGTATCTGGATTGCAAATGCACTATAATTTTTATACATGATAGATAAAAAGAGGAAATAAAGGTGTATCCCTACTTAGCTGTTATATTTTTATGTAAGTTGTCCGTGCCTTTCTTGTTTTTATATTTATGGGCATACCATAATATTTCATTTGAGGTGGTTCTTACAGTCCCTGCATTACATAGGAAGAGCTCATGTGACTTGACTGTCTGTTTAAGCAGAATCCACAATTTTAAGACAGTTGGAAGTATGTCTTCTTTGAGAGATTGCAACAACTTCGTCTGTGGTGGCTAGTTGATATCGTGTGGCCAATACACTCGCAAATGTGTCCTAGCACTATTCAAGAGCAGCAAGGAGTTACGCAAAGCCGCTCACTTAAAAAGAGTATAAGGCATTCACACGTAAATTTCAAATGCATCATTTAGAACTGGGTCGCAGTGCTGTATAGCTCGAACTCATGGGATCAGTAACGGTTACAACTGGCTGCTGCACAAACGCAGGGAAGTGTGCACTAGGCTATGAAATCAGCCTGTGTGTGTATTTGTCATAACGTTGCGATATGCAACTTCTACATTTCATTTTGCCAAGTGTAGTCAAGCTCCTTCATAAGAGGCACTGATGTAACAAATATGTGTAAGAAACACTATTGTGCTAGCATTGAAACTGGTGTTGATAAGAAAAAACCCATACGTGGTACGTTATAAAAGACTCCTGATGTAGATGACCAAAATTGCTCCCTGGTGCATGTCATACATAAAGGGGTTCAACTGCACCAAAAAGCGTGTGGCTGTTAACTAGTTAGGTTATGCAATGAATTCAATAGTAGTAGGACAGCAGCAGGAAAGTAGAAATTGTGCACGTCTCTTATATAAAGGGTTAAACTGCACCAAAGAGCAGGTGGCTACCTGCTGGCTACTGACTAGTTTGGTAATGCAAAGGCTTGAAAAGTAGAAAGACTGCAACTAGAAAGTAGGAGTTGTGCATGTCTCTTATATAGGGGTTCAACTGCACCAAAAAGTGTGTGGCTATTTACAAGTTTGGTAATACAATGGCTTCAAAAGTAGTAGGACTGCAACTGCAGTAGGAATAGTGTAGGTGAATTTTTTGAGGGACTCATTTCTTTGCTAGAAACAAGCGCATGAATACAACTGACAATTAGGCCACACAAAGCATAGGGGCCATTGCTCTTAACTGCAACGTAGGTATAATATAAATTGAAATGAATCAAAGTGGACGATATGTCACCCTTTGATTGGGGCATGAACCCACAACCTTCGAAGTTGCGTTGATGCTCTACCAATTTGGCTACAACGGAGGTGCATATTTGTTTGCTTTGTGGTATATTCTTTATGTGCAACTCCTAGGAGTGTTGGCTAGTGCTGCTGATTATAACCATGGTGTGGCGACTGTGGAACATGCTCTTTTTGCCGGAAGTCTTCATGTGGTTCATCATTTTTGCACGAGCCGGCAGCTTCCCAGTAAGTTAAGATATTAAAGGACCCATTACACCAAATTTATGAACTTGAGATGCTTGTGTCTGATAGTCTTGCATGCTGGGCCAATTCTGATAGATTATTAGTGACGAGTGTTGCCTGTAAAATATTTTACTTTAGTTTTAAAGTAAGGGTGCATGCTCATTCAAGTATTCAGGTGTAATCAACATTTCTGTAGTTTGACATAGATAGGGGCCCCCTCGTGACGTTTGCAGAAGTCGAGCAAGCATTGTCGGCGTCTGAGAACATTTGCGGGGCACACTATCCTGACTGGCGCCCGGTGAGGACTATTGTTGGTCACCCTTTTGCTCTGTTGTTAGTGCTC